TTATAATAATACCTCCTGGTTCTATAATAAGTTATCAATTGCTGTCTCACTTTATTCTCCATGTCCCTGGGAGTTAGCCAGGGTAGGGATTTTACATATTTACTGTAGAGATTATTCTGTATATACAATTTTATATTTTGGTTTAAAAACTTTGTATGACTATTTTCCCATATTCTTGTATCTTATATAGGTATGATTTTATTTTAAAAAACTTTTTAAATCCTCATCTGAGGATATTTTCTCATTCTTCTTCGGATAGAGTGGGGGGGAGAGAGAAAGAAACATCGATGTGAGAGGGACACATCGAATGGCTGCCTCCCGCATGACCCTGACCAGGGCTGGAGATGAACTGCAACCAAGGTACGTGCCCTTGACCAGAATCAAATCCGTGATTCACTGGTCCATGGGCTGACGCTCTAACCGCTGAGCCAAACCGGCCAGGGCCCTAGGTTTGATTTTAAATGGCTGCTTAATATTCAACTCAATAGATAATTTCTAGTTTACTAAAGCTATTTGGGTTTCTTTTTGTTTTCCTCTAATTTGGGCTATTTAGTTTTCTTCTTGTTGTTCATTACTATAAAAAGTATTGTGATGAACATCTTTTTTTTATCCTCACCCGAGGACATTTTTCCATTTTTTGCACAGATAGAGTGGGAGAGAGAGAGAGAAAGAGAAGGAGAGAGAAACATCAATGTGAAAGAGACACATGGAGTGGCTGCCACCCGCACGACCAACCAGGGCCGGGGACAAACTGCAACCGAGGTACATGCCCTTAGCGGGAACCGAACCCGGGTCTCTCCGGACCGCAGGCCGATGCTCTAACCGCTGAGCCAAACCGGCCAGGGCGTGATGAACATCTTTGACGGTGAAAAATTTCCCCACACTTTTACGTACACGCATATTTAGGATAGAGTCCCAGAAAAGAGATGGCAGACAACAGAGTCAAGCCTCTTGGTGCATTATAATCCCCATTTTCCAGATGAGGAAACAGACTTAGAGTGAGACTCCCCCAAGTTCATAAATGCACAGCTGAGAGCTAGACTGAAGTCTGCTTTCTAGATGATGTGAGCTATTCACAGTGTGCTCCAGGGATCATCAGTTTGATAAAACCTGGAAGAATGTTAGAAATGCATCATCTCAGGCCCCACTGAGACCTTGTAAATCAGAATCTGCTTTTATGCCTGCTAAAATTTGAGACGCTTTGCTAACAACATATTCTCCCCTCTAATCCTGTGAAGTGCTTTGAAATGAGGCAAAACAACCAGCATTGGTGTTACAGTTCTTTCTCATTTTCTCGTGTAAGGGCTGTGTGCCCACCTCACGACAGATTTGCTCATTTCAATGCAGATCCTCGGAACATTTATCTTGCCTCCATATTATCTTCCGCTCAGAACTGTACAAATAGCATTTAGGAATAATTTTCAGTATGAAATTGTCATGGTGAGGGAGAAAGAGCATTACACCAGGAGTTCTGGTCCAGGTTGTACCATGAACTAGCTGCATGACCTTGGAGAGCCACTGAATCACACTTTATTGAATTGGAGACAGTGATGAGAACACCCTTGGTGCATCATAAAGCACTGGGCACATCTGTGGGAAGGCTATCTTCATCTTCCTTGTGAGATGAAATGAAGGCGTTTAGACCAGATGATCCTTGGGGCGAATATTCAGACGACCCAATCCTCCTGAGAAAGCCTCTTTTGGGTTGGATTCCACCTGTGCTCTCCAGGAATATAATGACAGATAGGTGTCAGAGCAGAATGGGTAAGAATGAGAACTGAGAGTAACTGGTCTTCAAAGTCCCTTTTAAATCTAAAAACGTGTGATCTTCTACCATGCTGATGTGAAAGAAGAATCAGAATTTTAGCCTCCGCTGGTCCTATTGTGCCACTACCTGCTCCAGGAAAGCGAGCAGTTATTCCATTCTTTAAGAATTTGGAATTACTGCAAACCTCTTTTCTGGTATTAAAGTATTTTTTTTGGTATGTGATTTGATTCATTTCATTTTCCTTAAGCACATTAAGCAATTAGAAACCGAACTCAGGTCTTCCCAATCAGATGTAATTACCGAAGACGCTGATCTCTGGTCTGTTTTCCTTTTTTCTCCCCACACACGACCCTTCTTAGAGGAAGACAGTTTCAAAGCTTTACATAGATTTTCTGTTTTGTAACCGAACTTCTCAAACTTACAGTTTGAACATTATTATTACTAAAGCAGCAGAGCCGATTCAGTCCCGTGGACAGCCAGACGGTTAAAGGAACGTATACCTCACGTGCAGATTTCAGAGAACGGTCAGCAATGGCCATTTACCCAGAACATCACAGCGTTGTCCTCAGAAACAGGAAAGAGAGAGATTTTTGCGACGAAAATCCAAAAGGTTTTGTTTTAATGTATTACCTAATCAATTTTCTTTTTTTTTTTTTTTTTTATCCCCACCTGAGGACATTTTTTCCATTTTTTGTTCAGATAGAGCGGGAGGGAGAGAGAGGAAGAGAGAGAGAGAGAGAAACATCCATGTGAAGGGACACATCGAGTGGCTGCCACCCGCACGACCAACCAGGGCCGGGGACAAACTGCAACCGAAGTACGTGCCCTTAGCGGGAACCGAACCCGGGTCTCTCTGTACCACAGGCTGACGCTCCAACCGCTGAGCCAAACTGGCCAGGGCCCTAATCAATTTTCTTATAATAAATCAGACCATTTAGCTTTTGTTTTTCTCTTAATGCTCCTTGGATGTGAGCGGGGGTGTTAAGTTGAGCTTGTTGATATGGAGAGGTCAGTATTTCTAAAATCCCAAAGTTCCAAGAGGGGAAAAAAACAAAAACAAAAACAACGAGAGAGACTATTCCTATAACTTTCAACAGCAGGATATTTTCATGAGGGCCTAGTATTTAATGCCCCTTCTTTAGGCACTGCTGGGAAATAAACCACTCATTCATTTCACGCCTATTCAGTAAAAGCCTGTTTATAAGTGTCAGGCACAGAGGTTCTGGGTGAGAGACATGGATCCTGTCCTCAAGGAGCCTAGTGTGGAAGGCTGCTCGGGGTGCGAGGATAAGGGCATGCACAGGATACGTAGCACAGAGATATCAAGGGCAGACAATTCTTCCTGCGGGGCTGAAGAGAGCTCCCTAGAATAGATGTCCCTCAGGCTCAGGAGGAGATAGCCCCCGGGGACGAAGGAGTGAAGGGTGTTTCAGGCAGAAGGAACAGCAAATGCAGAGGGAAATGCAAATGCAAAGGCGCAGAGGCAACACCGAGCATGGCAAAGAATTGAGCATGAGTGGATCACAGCAGGTGTGGGGGAGACTGGGGAGGACGCAGGAGTAGGCAATAGGATACAATGGGGCATCCACCGAAATAAGTCAGCCAGGCGGAGCCAAAGCCTGCAATGTATAAAGATTTCAGAGTCAAGTTCCTTTCAGGCCCTTTAGAAATAATACCTGTTAGAAATGAACTTTAGTTTGGAGAAGGTATCATATCAAGAAATCTAATGGCATTACTCCAGAGTAGCGATTATAATTCTTATTTTGCCTGGACTGACCCCCCCGCCTCTATCCTCGTCTGAATGTAACTGGTCCATCTTTCTCTGGAAGAGAAGAGTCTCAGCACAGGCAGCATTTCAGGCTTTGCTCATTTGATCTGGTTGATTCAGGAAACAGATGCATCCTCTTGGTCTCAGCACAAATCGTTGGGGTTTCTTTTTTTTTTGGTTTCACCAAAGCCAAATCTATGTCTCGATCAGCACAGAGGAAAAAAGTAATTACCGAAGTATTAGTGAGATTATTATTTCCTGATATGAACTGCTGCATTCCTTACTTGTATCTGGTTCTCTCCCTGGGCCAGGGATAGAAAAATTAAAAACAAACTCTTTTTGAACAAAGCCTATAGTAATTAATTTTAACCTTGTTTACATTGGAGAACTCTTTGAGAATTTAATGAAAAAGACAAATCCTCTCCTCAGAAACATTCCCATTTTCTCACCTACAAAATGGAACACGGTTTCCATAGGTTCACAAGCCTCTTGAAGCCCCCTGAGGACCCTTGAGAAATCAGTAGACCCTGGTGAAGATCTGCACAGTCAGAAATGAAATGGAAGAACTGCTTTTGAAATTGGGCTGTGACAGTTGTCTGCTAATTCTGGCAGGACATTTTGGGAAGTCAGAATAAATCTCAACTGCATTGACCACAAAGATGCTCAACCCTCTTCTACACTGATTCAGAGGGTAAGCCTCAGCTTCTCAAATGTCCCCACCTCCATTCCAACCCAAACACGACAGAAGGCCCCTGGTGGGAGAAGGTGGAGCAAGAAATCACTCAAGACTTTTCATTTTCTAAAGCTAAGTCTCAATAGCCTTGGAGCTAGAAGACTTGTTTTTGTTTGTTTGTTTTTGTCAATCCTCACCTGAAGGTATTCCATTGATTTTTAGAGTGGAAGGGAGGGAAGGAGATAGAGAGAAACATCAATGTAAATGAAACATATCAATTGGTTGCCTCCTGAAGGACCCCAGCTGGGGCTGGGGATCAAACCTGCAACCCAGGTACCTGCCCTTGACTGGGAACCAAACCTGAGACCCTTCAGTCTGTGGGCCGAGGCTCTAACCACTTAGCTAACCAGCCAGTGCTAGAAAACCTGGTTTTAATCATAGATTTCCCACTACCTACTTGTGTAATCTTAAGTCATTTACATTTTTCAAGTATTGGCTTCCTCATCTATAAACCAGGGATAAATTTAATACTTACCTTTTGGAGCTGTTAATGAAGACTTAATGAGATAACGGAGTGTGAAAGTATTATTGACCTTAAACAAATAGCCAGGTATTACTCCAGCAAAACAGATGTATTCGGGAACATCAAGGAATCGCAACTAGGGATACGCAGCCTTATGGTGAGCCACGCAAGAGCCCAGAGGAACCAAGGGGCGGAAGCTCTCCCATGGACTTGGGCGGGGCTGTTGTAAAGGGAGAGCCCACCGAGGACCCGGAAGTTCAGAGGATGGTGGCTTTTCTTTGGCTGAGCTGTTCCTCCTGCAGAGGTAGTCAAGTGGTATCACTTCCTGTCAGAGATGCAAGGTATGTCTCTTCCTGTTGTGGTCAGTGTGCGCTGAGTGACTGTGTGTGAATGTTCTCTCTTCTGGTCTCCTGCCTGCATTTATTATTATTATTATTATTATTAGTTTATCCTCACCCGAGGACATTTTTGCATTTATCTTTAGATAGAACGAGAGGGAGAGAGGAAGGAAGAGAGAGAGAGAAACATCAGCATGATAGAGACACACCGACTGGCTGCCACCCTCACAACCCGAACCGGGTTTGGGGACCGGAACCGAACCCGGGCCTCTCTGGTCCGCGGGCCAATGCTCTAACTGCAGAGCCAAACTGGCCAGGGCTCCCGCCTGCATTTAAATGAGGTTTCTGTTTATTATTTTTCACAGTATTTACCAAACATCTGAGTCATAGATGGTGCTTGATAAATGTTAACTGAAATTTAATTCTCCCCGGGTGGAGTAAGACCTTTCAGAAACCCTAAGTACTGAAAAAAAAATTATAGTGGGAGACTTTCAGTGTTCTTTCTGGCATGGAAGGAGCTAGAATTTGCCACTCTATCCTAACAACAATGAAAAAGCTGAACAAACTAAAAAGTTAACACTTTTCTTAGATCTGTCAGAGAAGTAAAGGGCAAACTGCTGTCCTCCAAACTGGAAAAACAGGTGAATGAAAACAGGTGGATACAGAGACCCACAATTTACAGGTGCAGAAACTGCCATGAGAACCAATGATGGGGTAGAAAAACCTGAACTGTAATTGACAAATTGCTGGAGGTTCAAGTGGACAACTCTGAGCAGTGAAAACTCCACGGGAATATAGAGGGACCCCACACTTTTGTGAGGTCTACCCCCAGGAGCTCTATCAGGTCCTACAGTGAATATTGGAGAAAAATACTCATACTGCCCTGGCCGGTTTGGCTCTGCGGTTAGAGCATCAGCCCATGGACCAGAGGGACCCGGGTTCGGTTCTCGCTAAGGGCACGTACCTCGGTTGCAGTTTGTCCCCGGCCCTGGTTGGTCGTGTGGGTGGCAGCCACTCGATGTGTCCCTTCACGTCGATGTTTCTCTCTCTCTCCCTCCCACTCAATCTGAAAAAAAAAAAGGAAAAATATCCTCGGGTGAGGAATAAAAAACAAAACAAAAAACTCATACTTCCAGCAGGTGGGAATGAGGAGGGGGACGGAACCATTTTGAAATTGCAGAGTGTTCTGTTCTTAACAAGGCCTGTCCCAGGAGAACCTATTTTATTTTATTTTTTTTATTATTATTTTTTTTATCCTCACCTGAGGACATTTTTCCATTTTTTGTTCAGGTAGAGTGGGAGGGAGAGAGAGGAACAGAGAGAGAGGAGAGAAACATCGATGTGAAGGGACACATCGAGTGGCTGCCACCCGCACGACCAACCAGGGCCGGGGACAAACTGCAACCGAGGTACGTGCCCTTAGCGGGAACCGAACCCGGGTCTCTCCAGACCGCAGGCCGACGCTCTAACCGCTGAGCCAAACCGGCCAGGGCAGGAGAATCTATTTTACTGGAGCTTAACCTACCTTGGGACAGGGTAGCACCCAACTCTAGCCCCTTCTGTCCTTCTCATGGAGAGAGGGAAATACATAACTCCAGCCCCTCTCACCATCTGGTCCCATCTAAGATGGGAGAAAAACTGAGATGCACTGGTGAAGTGGACAGTCCAGGAGCACAGACTCACCATAAAGATAGATCTAATCACAGACTATGGAACACTTCCCTTCCCTCACATACTGTAGGCCTATTTACTGCAATTCCCTCTACCCAGTACATTGTCAGCCTTTCAACAGAAAATTACAAGCATACAAAAAGGCAAAAAAAAAATTGCAGTTTGAAGAGACTGAACAAGGATCAGAACCAGAGGCCAATATGGTGGAAATGTTGGAATAATCAAACCAGGAATTTTATAAAACTGTGATTAATATACCAAGGGCTTTAGTGAAACAAGTAAACAATATGCAAGAAAATACGGTTAATGTAAACAGAGAGATGGAAATTCTAAGAAAGAACAACAACAAAAAAGCTAGATCTCAAAAATACTGTAATAGAAAGGAATAATGCCTTTGATAGGCTCATTAGACTGAACATGGCAGAGGAAAGACTCTGTGGTTGAGGATATGACAATAGAAAATTAAAAAAACCTAAAAAACAAAGAGGAAAAAAAAGCCTGAAAAATACTCCCCAAAATAGAACATCTAAGAACCGCGGGTTGACTCATGCACCAAGAGGTCACCGGTTCAATTCCTGGTCAGGGCACATGCCCAGGTTGTGGGCCAGATCCCCAGTGGGCAGGAGGCAGCCAATCGATGTTCTCTCTCATCAATGTTTCTGTTTCTCCCTCTCCCTTTCTCTCTCTCTCTCTCTCTAAAATCAATAAAGAAAAAAAAAGTACTGCAGGAAAATTACAAAAGGCATAATATACATATAATATGTAATGGGATACTGGAAGAAAAAGAAAGAGAGAAAGAAATAGAATCAATATTTGAAGCAATAATGATGTAGAACTTACCCCAAATTGATATCAGACACCAAACCACAAATCCAGGAAGCTCATAGAATACCAGACAGGACAAATGCAAAAACAAAACAAAACAAACAAACAAAAAAAATGTACACTTAGGCATATCATATTCAAACTTCAGAAAATCAAAGATAAAGAAAAATTCTGAAAGAAACCAGTGGGGTGGGGGGAACCTTAACTAAAGAGAAGCAAAGCTAAGAATTACATCTGACTTCTTCTCAGAAACCGTGTAAGAAAGAAGAGTAGAATGAAATATTGAGGAAAAAAAAAACAAAACAAAAACCCCACCAACCTAGAATTTGGTATCCTACAAAATTATCTTTCAAAAGTGAAGGAGGAATAAAAACTTTTTTACACAAAAATGGAAAGAATTTGTTGCTAGTAGACCTACCTTGGAAGAAATGTTAAAAGAAGTTCTTCAGACAAGAAAAATGATATGAGTCAGAATCTCAGATCTGTACAAAGAAAGAAAAAGCAATGGAGAATGAATAAGAAAGTAAAACAAAATTGTTTATTTTTCTTAATATTAATAGATCTAACATAATTAAAAAAAAAATCCTCACCTGAGGATATTTGTCTATTTTCAGATAGAGTGGGAGAGAGAGGAACAGAGAGAGAAACATCAATGTGAGAGGGACACATTGACTGGTTGCCTCCTGTCCCTGGCCAGGGCCAGGGACAAACTGCTACTGAAGTACTTGCCCTTGACTGGAATTGAACCTGCGACCCATTGGTCCACGGGCTGACACCCTGTTGAGCCAAACCTGCTAGGGCCAACATAATTTTTTTTATCCTCACCCGAGGACACTTTTCCATTTTTTGTTCAGATAGAGCGGGAGGGAGAGAGAGGAAGAGAGAGAGAGAGAGAAACATCCATGTGAAGGGACACATCGAGTGGCTGCCACCTGCACGACCAACCAGGGCCGGGGACAAACTGCAACCGAGGTACATGCCCTTAGCGGGAACCGAACCCGGGTCTCTCTGTACCGCAGGCCGATGCTCTAACCGCTGAGCCAAACCGGCCAGGGCAATTTTTTCTTTTTAAATATACTTTTTCTTTATTGATTTTCAGAGAGAGGAAAGGAGAGATAGAAACATTGATGTGAGAGAATGAGTGGATAAAAAAGCTGTGGTACATATACACAATTGAATACTATGCAGCTGTAAAAAAGAAAGATCTCTTATCCTTTGAGATGACATGCAGGGACCTGGAGCATATTATGCTGAGTGAAATAAACCAATCAGAGAAAGACAAGTACCACATGATCTCACTTATTTGTGGAATATAATGAACAAAAAAAGCTGATGAACAAAATTGACTCAGAGACATAGAAAGGAGTACGGTCCAGACCAACAAACTTCAGAGAAGGGGGGTAGGGGAGAGGGATGAGAAAATCCAAAGAACTTATATGCATGTGTGTTTAACCAATGGACATAGACAATGCTTGCGGGGTGGGGGTGGGGGGTGGGATAGAGAGGAGGGTGTCTGGGGGGAAAAGGAGAAACATATGTAACAAAAATAAATAAATTAATTAAAAAACAAAATAAAGTAAATTACATACTTAAAAAAAAAAGAGAGAGAGATATTGATCGGCTGTCTCCTGCATGCCCCCTACTGGGGATCAAGCCCACAACCTGGGCATGTGCCCTGACCCAAAATCGAATTGGGACATCTCAGTCCATGGGATGACAATCACTGAACCACACCAGCCAGGCTATAATAATTTTTAAAAAATAATAGCAATAGCCCAGCGGATGTGGCTCAGTGGGTTGAATGTCAATCCATGCATCAAGAGATCGCCGGTTCAATTCTTGATCACAGTACATGCCTGGGTTGTGGGCTCCGTCTCCAGTGGGGCAGTTGGGGGTGTGTGTGTGCAGGAGCAGCCAATGGATGATGTTTCTCTCTCATCCATGTTTCTATCTCTCCCTCCCTCTCCTTTCCTCTCTCTATAAAGTCAATGAAAACACATTTAAAAAATAAAAATAAATAAAATAATAGCAATAATGTATTTGATTATGTATGTTTACTTATGTATAAGTGAAATGAATGCCAGCAATAACACAGGAGGTGGGAGGGAGGAATTTGGAATCCTTTGTTATTGTTAGGGACTTGCACTACCTCTGAAGTAGTGTAGTGTTATATGAAAGTCAACTTGGGTTAGTTGTAAATGTATATTGCAAACTCTAGGGAAACCACTAATAAAAGTTTTAAAAGTATAACTGATATGCTAAGAAAGGAGAGAAAATGGAATCACAATATGCTCAGTAAAAACCACAGAAGGCAGAGAAAGTATGGGATAAAAAACAGAAATAAAGAACAAGAGTAACAAATAGACAATAGTGACAATTGTGGTACTTACTAATCCATCTATATCAATGATCACCTTAAACATCCCTGGTCTAAATACACCTATTAAAACAAAGAGACTGTCAGAATGGATCAAAGAACAAGACACAAGTCTATGTTATCAAGAAGA